AAGCTAACATCATTATTCAATCTAATTCTAACAATTAACTCAATCACGTCGCTTTTTATGTATGTAAAAATATTTTTAAAAACTGAATAAATGAGATGAGAACAATTACTATTCTACAGTTATTGGCATAAATAAAAGGCAATGTTTAATCCCAGTCACGCAAAATGAATTTCAGGTCAAATTCGTAAAATAAGTATAAAATTGTAATCATATATCAATATTTTAACTCATTGATAACAAATTGTTAAAAACTTAAAAAAAAAGTACTTAGTTTATGTGCCTTGTATTTGTATGGAAATTAAAAAAATTTCAATGTAGAAAGACAAAAAAAACAAGCTCTGGCTTAGTTAAAGTTTTTCATCAAGTTCGAAGGAAAACTGAATGGAAAAACTACTCATCTATAAATTTTAATAAAAAAAAAACAATGCCATTAGCTAAAAACCCTAGAGTAGTTATGAAAATTTTCATTATTGATTAGTTAGTCTCTCATGTAGAGCTTAATGCCACTTTCTCTTAATACAATAACACTAACCAATGCCTAAAATAAAGTATAAATAATTTGGTAACTCAAAAAACATTTACTTACTTTTAAAATAAAATCAAATATATGTGCCACTAAAATTCGTTTTGCTAGAAAAGATTTCTTATCATTCGTTAATGAATTCCAATAAAATTATAACAAATAGAAATCAATAAAAAGTAATAACGAAACTGACGTTTGTTACAAAGTTGAAAATTTTTATCTTTATTTTAAGTTTTTATTTTTTAATTCTTTACTTACTTTTTAACTCTTTAGAATTTTATTTTAAAATTCTTGATAAAAATAACACATGCGCAAACTCAATTTTTTTTTTGATTACAAACATGGTTTAAGTCAACCATTGGAATATGAACGGGATCACCGGTGCAGTGGTCACCAGCCAATAAATCCCATGCATGGACCAAGAATGGAGAGTTTACTGAGTCATCGAGTACATTACCCTTCATAAATATAGTAATATAAGACATTTTAAAAAGCTTTGAAAACACCATATCTTAGTTACTACTTATAGTTACATACGAGGCGGTTCTACAAATAAATTGAGGGGGGGGGGAGGTGAATCCTCAAAAAGTACCGACTAGCTTCTATATAATTAAAAAAAAAATTTAACCGACTAGCCGACTAAATTCGTAAAAAACCGACTATAACTTGAAAATCACTTTCTTTGGTGGGTGTAACACCCCCCCCCCCCCCCTCCCGTAAAAACGCCTCTGGTTACATAAAAAAGCTTAACAAAATACAAAAAAAACTGTTTTTCAAAGAGAGTTTTCTAAAATTTTTATAATCTGCTTCACAATATTTTATCATAAAATTGTACATAACAGCTGTCTAAATAAGACATAAAATTTTAATCATTGATTATAAAATATTTATCTTTTTTGAAAATTTCCGAATTTCGTGAGTTAGAAATTTCCGGGAAATTTTTATCACGAAATCGAAGTGATTTACAGTGCTGGCCAAAAAGATCCGACCACGCATTGTTTATCTATGTATACAGTATGTACATTGTAGTGTAGGCGCTTTCCTCGGAATTTCACCATCACGCTTTGCATGCGTGATTGGCTAGTTATCAGCCAATCAAAACAGTTGTACCATTGTTATATATACCATCGCATGCGTAGCTGTGAATTATTATTTGCATTTGACTATGGCGACAACATCACCTGGAAAACGTGCTAAAATACAACTTTTGATGGAAGACGGGAAGTCTGAACGTGCGATTGCCGCACGTTTACAAATGCCTAAGACAACTGTTCACGACGTCATTCAGCACATCAAGTCAACAGGCACCAGCGCTGCAGGAAGATCCAGTGGCAGACCGAGATGTACCACATCAAAAACTGACGCTATGATCCGCCGTGCAGCCACGAAGGACCCACTGGCATCATCTTCACAAATTCTCAATGAACTGCCTCCTGATGTGAATGTGAGCTCTCGCACCATTCGGCGACGTCTTGTGGACGATTTCAGTCTTCGATCGTATCGCGCTGCATTAAAACCACGACTATCTCAGAAAAATATTCGTGACCGCCTCAAATTTTGTAAAGCACATAAAAATTGGACCGTGGCAATGTGGCGACGTGTCATGTTCTCAGACGAATCGCAGGTGAAACAATTTGCTACGCATAAAGTGAATGTTCGACGGCCACCAAACACACGCTACAATGCCCGATATGTTGCTCCAGCGGTAAAACATTGCCCTGCAATTATGATTTGGGGAGCAATTACTGCCAGAGGTCGAGCGGGAATCTATCTCATGCCGCCAGGTGAAACTATCAAAGCTGTTAATTATTTGCAAATAATAAAGGAAAATGTTCCTATTTGGCTCAGAACTCGCAACTGTGACATCTTTATGCATGACGGCGCGCCATGTCATCAGGCAAAGATCGTCAAGACATGGTTTCAAGAGAATTCCATCAATGTTCTTGCTCCGTGGCCTGGCTCGTCACCGGATTTAAACCCGATTGAAAATTGCTGGGTAAAATTGAAAGCAGAAGTGGCAAAAGCAAACTCGACGTCTGCGACAACTTTGAAGGAGGCTATACTGGAGGCGTGGTCCCAAAAAATAACGCCTGATTACTGTGACTCTCTTGTTGCCTCTATGCCTCGAAGAATAGAAGCTGTCCTCAAAGCCGGAGGAAGACATTCGAGGTACTAGAAACTCTTTTCTGATGTGAACTACTTGTTGGTTTCTTCGAAAGTGTGTCATTGACTTATGTGAATGTTGTTTGTTGCGTTTAATTCAATCATATTATCATTAAATTGAAGTGGTATTACGTTTCTGTCTAAAAACCTTAGTGGTCGGATCTTTTTGGCCAGCACTGTAAGCTGAAAATTTACTTTCGTAATTTGCACAGAAATTTGCAAATCGAAATCAGGTATATGGCTTAAAATTTAAATATGTTTGTTTCTATTTTTTATTTGACTTTTTTGCTTTAAATAATCGTTTTTTCATTTTTGTTTTATCGGCTGATTTATTAAGGGAATGCTTTTTGAGGTTTTTGATGTAATTACATACAAATCAAGATTGTTTATTTCTAGCCATTTCTTTATTATGGTTTTGATTTAGGGAACTCTAATATAATGGTAATGTCTTCATAACTTCAGTTAAAACATTAATGAAAACAATAAGGAAATAAATTTATAAAACAGGCACTATTTTTAAATAATATCAATTTAAAACAGGTAAGTGGTATTATTTAAAATTAGAGAAATTAGTATAAAATTTTTTCAAGATTCGTTAAAGAATCCATATTTTCAGTAAAGAAAGCATTTTAACCCATCTCCTTTTAAACTCAAAATAGATTAACTAAAAAAACATGTTGATGACTAAACCATAGCCAATTTAATAACAGTCTCATCATTTAAATGATTTTTTAAAATCTGAACATAAGATTAAAAAGATAAATAGTTTTTAGAAAAATAGTTTTAGGCTATTTATAAAAATTAGTTTGAAGTTGAAGATCTTTTTCTGTTTGGATGTTTAGGTATTTGTATTATTACAAATTTAGAACTGGGTACTTTGATTCTAAAGAAGTCCAGGTTTAAACACCTAGATGTTTTAAGGTTTTAGTAAAAATTGGTTGACAACTTTTTTTTTTAGCGCAATTTTTACCTGAGGATGAAGTTGTGTTTCCCAAGCGCCACCATAATTCACGTTTAGAAAATGACCTTGGCACATCAAATCAGGTAAAAGCCTTTTTGTTACTTGAAATCTTATTTACTTTAAGACATGTAACAATAAAAAATCTATTTTAAACAATCTTTATTATAAGTCAATGATATTATTTATTAGGACTATCAATTAGACACAAATAATATATGTATATTATTTATGTCTAATTGATAGTAAGTATATTGAGAAATCATTTAGAAAGTTATAGGGTCAGTTAGCAATTGTAAATACTCAGTTAAATGTAAATCAAACTTTATGGGTATCTTACTGGGAACTTCTGTAAGTTACTACAGTAAACTGTTTAAAATCATAGATCCAACTGGTATATTTTAGATCTATTACCTATGTTTGTTTTTTTATCCATCTCTTGTTGAATAAAATGAACAATATAGTATTTATAATATAATATAACTATATAAGTACTGCTATAAATATAGTTCTGCTTATAAATATAATACACATAAAAACTGCACATACATTTTGCAATTTAATAAAATACAATTATCACTTTTTGATAGTTAGTTGCTAGTATTAATTCAATTACTTAATGAACTTTATTATGTGACTCAGACCTTGGCAGAATCGAGAGCTTTAGCTATCGCCACACACTCTACTAATTTGATTTATGGAAGCAATTTAAAGCTGTTGCAAAAGTATAAGTTTGTCATAAATAAAAATCACTTTCATTTCTTCTCTATTTTTAGGTATTGATTAGAAAATTTAAAAATTCTGGTGCAAACATATAAAATAGATCATATAAAAAAGACAACGGTTGAGTTGTAGATTGACTTTTTTGCTTATATATTGCGATGGTTTATTTTTTTTTCAACACAATCACAAATTTTTTTTTTAGATCTTGAGATTAAATATACAAATAAATTGTGAACTTCGTAATACAATAATTTTTGTTTTGTTAAAACTAGGGTTAGGACTATTGTAATTGTAATTGTAAAAATTAAATACAATTACACATTACAATACAATAATATTGTATTGTAATATTACAGAAACAATAAAAAAATTTTATTTTGGTATTGTATTGCTGTGATGAAGAACAATTACAATAAGTATTGTATTGTTTTTTTTCTAACAATAGAATAAAATTTGAGAACTATTGTATTGTATTGTTTTAATGAAATAAAATTACAATAATTATTGTATTGTTTTGATGAAAACAATTACAATAACTACTGTAGTGTATTACTTTACATTAAAGTAGAAATGCTAACGTATTTTAATGTATTTATATTCATCTCTGACGCACTTACTATTGTTTTTGCTATTTTTTATTTACGGATTTGCAATATATTGCAAATTTTATTTTTTACATATTTAGATTTCGCATCACCTATCTTGTTATGTATTTCTAAGCTCTAAATGGCTGCAAAATATTGCCTGTCTGATGATAGCCTTACTATTATGAAAAATAACATTCATAAATTATTTTATTCACCCCTTTTATTTTTTTCTCTTGATTTTAATGCTGCAAAGGAACTTAAAATGTATATATGAAAATTAACTTTAGCAACTCAAACAGTTAAACATAATAATTCTTCTTAAATAAAAAAGTTAATTTCTTGAAAAGTTGAAGAACCAACATAAAAAAATTAATGATGATGAGACGAAAAGCCAAATGGAGATTTTTCTTGATGCGTTTAAGGTCTGAAAATAAAACAAAATGTTAACCGTACTATTTTTAACAATATCTTCATACTCATTATTTTTCCAAATATCTCATACTTTTTCCTACAAAGATTTTTATAAGATTTTGGTATAAGGATAACACTATTAGATATTTAAATATTTCCAACGAATAAATACCTACACCTTAAAGTTGCCTTTGTTTGAATTCAGGGTGATGTGTAATCATCATTATCATCAAAACTCTGACTTGAACCACTGGAGACCTGATTAAGTTGATCTTCATCATCTTCTGAATCAATTTCTTCAAATTGGCTATGAGATGAATTGCGCTTAACTGGAGTTGAGGTTCTGCTCAAGTAGGCAGCAGACATGGAACTGTTCATTGAAGCATCTAAATCTCCAGAGCTGGCTGCTCTTTGATGCTGATCAGACTTAGATGGACCTTCAAGTTGACTTGAATAACATTGTTTCAGCATTTTTACTCTTCTTGATACTTTGTATCAAAATAAGATAGGATATTTCCTAACAGTTTTCATTAGTTAAATTAAAAATTTGCATGAAAAATAAAATCTAATTTTTAAATAAACCTTTTGACAGTTTTATAATTTTTTTTTTAATTTTTAATTAAATTTTTTTAATTTAAATTTTTCAAATTAAAGTAAAATCAAAAATCAAATTAAAAGAATTAAAAAGATAAATTTGTTACAGCAACCAACAAACCCTCTAACAAACTGCGTTTACCTAATTCAAGTTGTAAATCCCACTGAATTATGACTTTGCTGCTGTTGTGATGTATATACACCAGACGAGCCACATTAGTTGGGTCCAAACGACTTCGTAGTGGAGTTACAATATTTCCTGCTTCTGAGAAAACTCGTTCTGATGCTGCAGAAGATGCTAGGACGGAGAGCACAGCACAAGCAGATGTAGACAAAAGTGGAAATCGAAATTCATTTTGCTTCCACCAGCAAAGGACATCAGTATCTTTTGGCACTTTGACTTTTGAAAAAGCTTCCCACTCCATTAAAATAAGAGGTTTCTTTTCAGCTCCAACCATTGGGTCTGTTGCTTTTTCTTCGCCTCTGCAGGCTTCATAAAGGGGATTGTTTTGACGGGAAAACTCCTCAAAAACCTCTAGACGTGTTGCAGAGGTCCATTCTTCGTAGTAAGAATGTTCATTAATAATTTCTCGTTCGACCTTTTTGAATAATGCCGGGGAGAATTGACGTAGAGCCAAACCACGGTAACGTGGATCTAAAAAGTTGGCTTCAGCAAAAGCTTTCTCATCGCAGCCATGATTTTTAAACTTTTCTTCAAGCTTGGACCAAACAGCTGCACAGTAGTTCTTCACATCTTCTGTGTTTTCTTCTGTCATGCTGTCAGAGAAGATTTTGTGCAAGTTAAACACTTCGGGAATGACTTTATGAATTGATGGCTTGTCTTCAACAGACAAGGTGTTGATTGCGTCATTAAGACATCTCATCAAGGGCAAAACTTTCTGCCAGATTTCAAAAATGGATTCATTAGGAATTTCTCTCCACCAGGTATTCTGCTTGTCAGGGAATTCATTTTTCTTTCCTTTTCTTTGTATGTACAGAAGAATAGGCTTCGAATCTAAAATTGACTTTAAGCAAAAAAACATACTATTTCAGCGTGTCTTGACAAAGCTTTGAATTTTATGGAGGGGCCCTTTAAACAAATTTTTTTGTTTCAAGTGCCCTGCAGTGGCCTCCATTTAGCCTGCAATCTTGGGTGAGTTTTGAAGCAAAGAGGAAAACACTTTTGCTTTTTCGAACCAAGGACTGGCTTTAAGTCCAGCTAAGCAGACCAGATTTAACCGATGGTTGACACAGGAAACTGAAAAGACTGATGATGAGTTTTTTGAAAAAGCCTTCACATTGGCGGCAGCAGCATCATGAGTAAGAAAGATTTCACAACCATTGGGCAATTGACTTTGTTAATCCTGAGTTAAACTAGAAGAATAATAAAAATAACATTGTAAAAATAATTAAACACAAAAATGATAGAGGCACATTGGTGCAGTAGCATAGCGAAACGGGGGTAAAGGGCCTTTTTCTCAGAGCGCATACGATTAAAGAGGCGCCAAAAAAAAATGCTTGTCTTTTTATAAAAAGCTTTTTTATAAAAAAAAGTTATTTTTTGTTATAAAAAGGCCCTTTTTTGCTATTTTGGACACGGGCGCTAATGACCCTCGCTATGCCACTGCATTGTGAATACCAAAATCTATATATCCTACTATAACTATAGTTTCCATCAAATGATCAACATTAAAAATTGCCAAACAACTTTTTTAAATTGGAATTTGACAGAAAATCTGCTAGTACAGTAAAGTCTTCCAATTTTTTAGTTAGTTATAATTTACTTAAAAGAAATCAAAAAAATAAAATAAAATATTTTTTACTGATATAACAAATACCATTCAAATTTCGCCCAAAATCATTGCATTAAGTACTTACTCCGAGAAGATTTTTTGTAAGTTTTCAGCAGTCTGTGGGACATCAGTTGGCTCACAACACCACAAAAATCTCCGTATTTGATAGTTGTTGTTGATGTAATGGACTGTGATGGAATTACTTGTCACATGCTAGAGAGGACCATCCATCAGTGGTGAAAGCAATGCGCATAACCATTTTGATCTCGAAAAAGACGATGTCTTTCACAGCTTTTTTGACAGCCTCATATACAATGGGAAGTTCATTCTGATCGTAGGTCCTTGCAGAGTGTGTACTAAAAATAATTTAAAATAATTTGAATCACAATAACACCTTGTATTTGAAGCTTACTTTACTCGGGTAGTTGTTAGCATAAATATTGGAATAGAACTCTAATATACCTGTGGACAAATTGCTTGAAACATTTGTTGAATCGATGGGAGTTCCATAAAGTGAAATGAAACATTTGAGTTTGCAAGGCCTAGACACACTTCATAGTCAAATCTTAATTGCATAGGATCTTGTGACTTCAGCTTTAGAAAATGTGTTGGCTTTTTGAATTTCCTGCGCAGTTGAAAGTAACTACCAGCTCCAGTCCCTAGAAATATTTTTAATTGCTTTTATCATAAAAGCTTCAACTCCTAAAAGCAGTTTTGCAAGTTTTCAGAATCATTATGTATTAAAAAATGATTACCTCCTATTGATGTCAAAAACTCAAGTTTTTCCCCAGAAATGGCTTGTTGAGACTTCATTTCTTCTTCCTGCCGCAAAACTTCATAATACACAGTTTTATGTTTGCGCTTGAGGTGTGACTTTATGCCAGTTGCAGAAGCATTTGGTCTAGCAATTCTGTTAGAGACGACATCTGGACATAACTTGCATTTGATTTGTAGAGCATATTTTGAAGTCGGTTCAACATCTTCAAAGTTATTCTACCAGAGTTTTTGCCTTTTGCAACCTGGTGGGAGTCTAGTTTCTTCAAATTTAAAAGAAATCATTTACAAGCTCAAAAACTAACAATACCAACTTTATAGCAAGTATTACTTAGTCTACTTTAGGATCCCAATTTTACAATCTTATAATATAACTTAAAGATGAACAAAACAATTTTAATTACTCCTTGGAGCCTATTTAAAATAATTACTCTGGGTTATAAATCATATTTATTCAAAAAAAAAGGAGAAAAAAATAAACAAAAAAACTATACCTGCCATTTTGTGGTTCAACCTTTGATCGTAAGGCAAAAAATGAGTCTGATACTAGATGCAAAATCTAAGAGTGAAAATAAATTTAAATTGTAAAAATTTTTGCAAAAACTGTGTGACACTACTTTTTTTAAAAAAAATTGAGCCACACAATTTTTGTGAAAAACCCACAAACTTTAAGTACTCTCTTAAAATTTTCGCTTTTGAAATTTAAGACTTCAGGCTTAATACTGTGAAGAAACATTTCCTTCACAAGCTAAAAAAAATTAATGATAAAATTTACCTTTTTACTGCATTTGATTATAAATCTTTCAAAAATTGAAATTTTCTTTTGACTTATGCAAATCAGAAAGTTTAACTTGTTACGCTTTAATATTGACTTGCTTTAATATTGTCTTGACACGGAATTCCGCATCAATTCTTCAGCAGAAGAATTAATTTATTACGTAATAAAAAACCATGACTATAAAACATAAAAAAACCTAATTTGTACTAGTCGGCTGGAAAGACTGTCTAAAATTAAAGTTAAAATATAATTTTAGACTTATCAAAGTCTAAAATTTTAGTTAATTAAACATTTATTGTGCAATTCAACATAAAATATTTTTCAAATAGGGTAAAATCGGTTGCACCCAAGAATGAACCACGAAGATTTTATTTAATAATATATTATATAAATTACAACTAATATAATTAATTAAATTCTATAGAAGTTTTGTTAAATTTTTTTTATAATACAAGACTTTACTTATTAATAGTTTTATTAGAAATTTCCCGAATTTTAAATTGCTAATTCAGGATAATTTCATAGCAATAAGGTTTTTAGTTTCCGCTCATTGTGGTATTTTATTGGTACTATTACGTAAGACATACAATCGCAAATGTTCTTTTGATAATTAATTCATACCAAATAAAAAGAGAGTAGTTTTTAATTTATTTATTTGCAGATTAAAATATTCAAAGATAGCAAGCGCTACTCTACATGCTACACAAACTTTATGACCGCTCAAAATGTTAAAAGTGCACAGAGCAAAGTGGTTTTTAGTGGTTTAATTAAAGAGGATAAAGGTTTTACTGTTATTATCTTTACTATGAACAGTAATCGTGGTCGTATGTGGAATTCTTTAGAGTTGTATGCTACATACATGAGCCATAGTGGTACAAAAAGCCGCAGAAATTTAATTTTTGATCTTTTTGACTACGTTGGTAATGCTATGGTGGTTCTCATTTCTTCAGGAAAAGTTAGTAGCTAAAATAGTTGAAAAAAATCCAGCAATTGTTGATTGTGTTTGACATTGACATTAATGTCATGTTCTGGAAGGTGTATTAAAAATTGCGATTGCTGGTGTTGGAGCTATGTTGGCTGGAAAGACGTTTCCACACAGTATTAGAGTATTACATATGATCGTGGAAGAACTAATTTCACTTTTGTTCTCTAAAGACATAAGTGATTTTGATTCTTTAAAGTTTCATCTGAAAAAAATAGCAAGTAAGAGTCAAGCATCAAAACATTGCATCAACTGTTTAATAAAGCGAGTTTTCATTGCGCTAACCCAGTAGGCACGGGACCTAAAGAAGACGTCTTTTGAACGTTGAAAAGACGTCCAAATTGTTCAAAAGATGTTTAAAAGATGTCTTTTTCATGTTGCGTGCCCACTGGGAATATTTATACGCGCCGAACGCAAAAGTAACTGGACTTTGCATTTGTGGGCAATTTGATGAGCATTCTGTAGTTTATTATTGTAAAATATTCTGTAATTTTTAAACTTAAAGAAAATTAGTCACTTCATTTTTATTAATTATTTTACCTTTCTCAGGACGTATTTTATGTTGAATCGCTGTCTTAAGTCTGCCGAATCCCTTTTATTTGCAGAAAAATGGTGGTTTCCTTATTTTTGATCCCGTTAACTTTGATTTTCAATATTTAAAGTTGCCAATCAATCATTAAATATTAGTTGTACCCTATTTCAAGGGTACAAGGGTATATAGTCGGCAACTGGACTATTAAAACATTTATTAAATTTTGACACTAAAATAATTTTTTTATTACAATAACAATATATTGTTATTGTATTACAAAGACGAATTACAATACAATATTTATTGTTATTGTAGTGGGTCATTACAAAACATTTTTTTTTCAGATATTGTTATTGTTTTATAAAGATGAATTGCAATACAATATTTATTGTTATTGTATTACAGAATTACAATAATTGTATATCACAAGTATTGTTTATGTTTCTAAATTAAGTTAATACAATAACAATAATTATTATTACTGTTATTGTTTTAATTACAATTACAATAGTCCTAATCCTAGTTAAAACCGAATTTTAGTATTATGAATGCAAATATAAATGTTACATATTAATAAGACAAAGTTATAATAGAAATGTTTTTCATTTCAAGCACAGATATGCAGTGCAGAAAGATTTTTTTTAAATCTTTGATGTGAAATATTTCTGAAACAATAATGATATTATTGTCAAATTTTCTAACGAATAAGTAAAGTTGTTAATGAATCAACTGATAGCTAGTGTGAAAACCCAAAGAAAATGCTTGTCTAAAGATTTTTTTTGAAAAAAGAAATATTTAATAAATTTTAGGGCATGGAAAATGTCCCTCTTTGAGCATATATAATTGTAGCATTAACGTTACAAACATATGCTTTTATGAAGTCAAACATTGTATCTAATGAGCTATTTTATTGACTAAACAGACAGCAGGCGCAAAAAAACAAAAGCTCTCATAAAAAGCTGTTTAAAGGGGCAGCTCGCAAGGCTCTCCATGTTTATTTTTGGGGAGCATTCCTTCTCTTCTATAATCAGTTATTACACACTAAGGCTGGTGACTAAATATGTTGAAATCATAATTATAATCTTGCTTCTAAAGTGATTTACTACCCAGTAAGCATAAATGAGCATATGATAACTGCAGCAAATAAGTATATAAATTAAAAAAACTTATTACTTCAGTATTATGTAAATTTTTTTTTTAATTTTATGTTTTTTTGGTCTAATTTTGATTACTTTAATGTTGTGCTCTCCTACAGAAAAATAAGGACAATGGCTTTGAAAAGTTAGTGGTTTAGCTCAGGAAAATTAGTAGTTTAGCTTAGGAAAGTTAGTAGTTTATTTTAGGAAAGTTAGTGGTTTAACTTAGAAAAGTTAGTGGTTTAGCTCAGGAAAATTAGTGGTTTAGCCTAGTAATATTAGTGGTTTAGCTTAGGAAGTTGGTGGTTTGAAAAAAATTGTAATGATAATATATAAACTAGAAACTATTGATAACTTTTTTTTTTGCTTTTTCTATTTATCAATAAAAAATGAAGGTTTTTTTTTTTGCTTGATAAATAAATCTTAAAAACATTCTTAAAATTCGTTTTTTATGAGGCAAAAAATCAGCAAATTGAAGTAGTTGAGTTATTGGATTTTCTTGAAAATGGATTCTTTCAAATTATTTCATAAGAAAAACCTGAAAATTTCATGGATTCTTTCAAATTATTTCATAAGAAAAACCTGAAAATTTCATGGATTCTTTCAAATTATTTCATAAGAAAAACCTAAAAATTTCATGGATTCTTTCAAATTATTTTATAAGAAAAACCTGAAAATTTCATGGATTCTTTCAAATTATTTCATAAGAAAAACCTGAAAATTTCATGGATTCTTTCAAATTATTTCATAAGAAAAACCTTAAAATTTCATGGATTCTTTCAAATTATTTTATAAGAAAAACCTAAAAATTTCATGGATTCTTTCAAATTATTTCATAAGAAAAACCTGAAAATTTCATGGATTCTTTCAAATTATTTTATAAGAAAAACCTGAAAATTTCATGGATTCTTTCAAATTATTTCATAAGAAAAACCTGAAAATATCATGGATTCTTTCAAATTATTTCATAAGAAAAACCTGAAAATTTGAGACTATAGTTCAAAGCAGTTCAAAAGTTACTGGAATTTGAATTTTCATAAAATGTCTTTTTTTAAAGTTTTCCATGTTTTAATGTAGCAACTTCATGCAGTTAAAAAAGTTGTTTGAAATGAGAGGAAGTGTTGATTTTTTATAAACAAATACAATATCAAGTTATTAAAATTAAGGAAAAAATTGAGTTTTTCAAAATATCTGCAACATACTTTTTCCCGTTACCCAATACTACCAAAGGGGTGTTCAATGATGCAAATTTTGTGCTTTTGAGCACCAAGTCTCTTGTAAATCAAGGCTTATATTAGTATATTATAAATTTTTAAGAAAGAAAAACTGTTTTATTTTTACTGAAAGTATAGTCAAAGTTACTTAAAACTCAATATTAGAAAATAAAACAACTATAAAAACACTATAAAATATACAATAAATCTATAATAAAAAATATTAGTTTATTCTCTACAGCATTTGTTTATCACTTTTAAAAACAAAATGCTCCATAAGTCCTTGCTTAGGAATGTTTAATATCTTGTGTATGTTACACCTAGCTTCAATAAATTCTTGTTTGGGGTATGGCCAATAAAAGGTCTTATCCAATAACCATGAGTTTGATAAACACATCATCATAAACTAGTATTGTTGTTATTTGGCCAACAGAGTGATTTTTTTGATTTTCAAAACTCCTTGCAACAAGCACAAACTGCCCAACGTTTGCATTATTTAGTTTCTCAACATTGGCCAAAATCTCGTTAACTACATTTTCAGTGTCATTTGCAAATACGTTTTTTTCTAATTCTTCTGTAAAGTCCTCAATAGCTTTGACTTGTTTAGGTTTTTTTAAGCAAACCTTGCTGGTATTTTTTTGGACATTTTGCTAAATGAAAAGATAATTTGCTGTTGACTAAGGTATTGAGTAGGAATGATATGACACCTTTTTTATCTTTCCTTGTCCTCATTTTGAAGATAACTTTTTCTGTTGTTATTTTTTGTATCATATAAGAAATCTTTTTGTTGGTTTGTAAATTTTGTATGCTTACATATAGGTATAGCCCATCCTGTAACATCAATATTGCGCTCAAATTTAAATTTATTTTCAGTAAGAATTGCTTTGGCATCAATTCCTTTGAGAGATTTGGATGAACAAATAAGCAAACAGCATGATGT